CGCAATTTTCTTCAAAACTACTTCAATGAGGAAAAAAATAAAAATTTGGAATATCTATACATGAGGGGCTAATTGATCGGATCTGATCCCTCCCCGAGAGCCGAGCGCCGACGCCCCCTGTCCCCCGAGAGCTCAACCAAACCCCCGGAGCCAATGAAAACCTCGCATCATCCTCTTCCAGATCACCACCACCACCACCTCCAGCTGCATCGATACATTCCATTGTGCTTACTCCAGTCAGTGATCGTGACGTTTCAATGTTGTTTCCACCAAGACCCTCAAAAACTGATCTCATCGCTCCCCAACCGGTGACTAATTAAATGAAGTGTTCCACTCGTTATCAACTGCCCTCCGATCAGTGCACCTAACACCCCACAATGCCTGACAGTCAGGCCCCAGGACACCTGTCCCTCATCTTTCTCCTGATTCTGTCCCTGGGGGACACAGCATCGCCCCCAGGGGTGTCCCTCAAGCCCCCGAAGTACGCCGAGAAGACCCTCGCCGAGGAGGAAATTTGCCACCCCATCGGGGGTGTCGCGAAGAACGCCCTGAGGCTCCCCAGGGTCGTGAACTCAGGCCTGATCATCACCCCCTCCCACGTATTCGACAGTTGGACCCATCGAACCAACGATTTGCGGTGCAGATTCACGATCAAAGCCCCCAAAGGGGAGCACTTGTTTGCTGTCATCCAGACGATATCTTTCAGGCGAAACGAGAGTGGCTGCATCGACTACGTGAGGTTCAAGAGAAAAGATAAGAATTCGACGGACAAGTTCTGCGGGAATTTCGACAGGAGGAGGCTGAGGAGCGCCCTGGAGTACTCGGAGGACTACAGCGGGTTCACGAGCAAGAATGCGTCGTACTCCTTCGGGGAGTTTGATCCCCAGGGGGAGATTGAGACCACGATTTTCGTGTCGAAGGAGACGCTGGCCGAGAGTGAACATTTGAATCTCACTGTTGTCTATACGCCGTACAAGGACTGCGAGAAGACCGACTGGGCGCAGTACAGGACGACGAGGTACGAATAGGAATACGGGCACTCAGAAAAAATATATTTTTAGCGAATGTTCGTTTACTTGAGAGGAGCATTCATTTTTTTGAAATCGCATTTCTCGTCGTCCAACGCAGGACGAACTACAGTACAGGAGGTCCTAAATTTTTCCTACATTTCTTACTTTCTAGAGGGAAGAATTTCGATCAATTTTTTAATGTTGATAATTATTGAAGGAGTTCACTCAATGTCGTAACTAACGTGATCATCTTCTAGAGCAATATAATTGACATTATTTAAACCTAATGAGGATCGCCTGAGAATGACTCAAACGGAGAAATACGGTATTCAAAAGATAAATACTTCTCCAAAGTAAATGGACATTTGGCAAAAATGAATTTTTTTCTCAGTGGACGTGTAATTAGCAGGCGACTAATGAATTTCCGAATGAAACCAATTCCTGCCATTTGAGAATAATCTGCTGACTATACGCCATGTAAAAAAGTAATTAATTATAAATGAACTGTTAGTTCTTGAACTATAAAATTCCAATCCTAAACTATCCCAAATTATTCTCAAATGATAGGAATTGGTCATTTGGAAATTCATTAGTTGCCTGCTAATTATACGTCCGTAATAGGACTGAAAATTAAAGGCGTAAAATGCCCGGAAACTTAGGGTGAAATGAGGCTCAAACGGCAGCTCTGATGTTCGACTACAAAAGTAGAAAAGCAATTTCATTGGAGAAAAAATAGCTAAACTACTTGGATATCCCTAATTGCAAGGATTTCCCAGACATGTAAATGCGACGAAATTCATCTCAATTTAAAACTCTGATAAATTGGGAAAAAAATCGTACAGAGTTGTTTGAATAGCCATCAAATTTTTTTTTATAAACTGCTTCAGAGATAATAATCATACTAATTTTATAGTAATTTTTCTGTCATTCAACTCCAACGTTTTTCTCAGAACTCGAGAATAAGAGGGTGGGAAATTGACACAAAAATCGTAACGATTTATTTGCATTATTTCTTATGAATTCAATCATTAAAAATTTTCTCTTTGACAAAATGCTTCATAGATATTGGTCCAAGGAATTTCATTGTAATTTTTCAATGAATTGCATAGTCTTTGCCTGAATCTCACAGAATTGAGAGGACACCAAGCCCTCGTCATCGAGAAGAATTCTTTGAACTCAAACAAATCGAATGGGACAGTAAATTGACCGGTCAGTTTTTTCCGTTGCACCGCTAGGTACGACGTCTGCATCTGGAGGGACTACTTCTGCGACGGCTACACCAACTGCTTCGCTGGAATATGCGTCGACGAAGATCCCTGCCCCGACGAGATCACGAGCAATGGAACTGGGACGACAGTCACTATCGGGGCGGTCACAGTTATTCTCTTGAGCTTCGTGATATTCTTGATGGGTTTGTGGATATGCAGGGGGCAGAAGAAGCTCTGCTGGTCACCAGACTGCGCTGGACCCAGCACCCAGGACAGGGCCCCGGCCGACAGGGACTCCGGGGAGTCTCATCACGAGGCTGTGGGGGTCGCTCCTATGCTTGAAATCGCCGTTTTGCCTTCTCCATTGGATAAGGATCTGCCACCTAGCTATGACTCCCTGTTTCCGGATCAGGCGAATCGAGCTACTTGATGGGGGGACGGGATGGTGGGTTATTTAATGTTTTAATTAGATAACGTTGATGGATTTTTTGAGATTTGGGGAGTGGAGATGAGGGAGTTCTCCATGATTTTCAAGGAAATTTTTTATTTGTGGAGATTGTTGAGGGTTCATTCGAGGGATTAACCGTTTTATTCTTCAGTAGTGAAGGCGATTTTAGTTCCTATTCGACATCTTTTACAATTGAAGGAAAATCTCCTTTATGCAGAGGACAATTAACTCCTCGTTTTTTATGCATTTCCTTGAATTCCTCAGAAATAGTAGAATTTTCTGCAAAATGCTGAGTCCAAAGTGGAATCAAATTGGAAGAGATAAAATGAAATAGACCTTCTTAAATTATCAAAATCTCTTGATCAAATCCTCCAATATGGATGAATGGAGTTAAATTTTAAACCTCCAAAACACATTCAAAATGAAAAAAAAAATGAATTTCTATCGTTCGTAATACTTTTCGTAATTGAAGGAAGATTTTTGGCTCCTGGAAAATTTTCTTTTCTATTGACCTCAAATATATCCATTAAAAACTCATCAAATGCCCCTCAATTTGAATTCCCATTATTTTTAGTTACTTCACTGTTGAATTTAGTAACAAATTACTCTCCAAACATCTTCAAAACTATAAGATTCAAACCAAAACGTTCAAGAACTCTCTTATAGGCAATTCAATGCACTATAAAAAATGTTCTTCGAAATTTTTTCGAAATTTCATTTGCTCTGTTCTCGGTTCATTTCCCTTCACCATTTCTCCATTAATATATATAAGTATCACAATAAATTTTGCGATAAAAATGCATAATCTCAGTATGCAATTGTCTGACCCGTGAGCATAGACCATAAATTAACTTTTTACACTTGAAAACAAATTTTTTTTTCAAGTTGACGAAGATGACCAGGGGCATTGCCAATTTTTCGAACACTCCGAATAACTTTTCTATCGTATTCGACATATTTTCCATTGGTGAACCAAATTATGAATGTGATACAATCTGTAACAATCGTTTTTAATACAGACTTAGGGTAATTTTATAATAAATGCAATACTCGATAGGGCAGTCTTAATAATTATAATGACCAGCGTTTTCATACGGCTGTATATTGTTATTTACCCACAGCAGTTTGCTGAATACAATTTAATGATTCTCAGTAGAAAAGATAATGTACTCTACGTAAATCTCTCCTGACTTGAGGACGAAGTGATGAAATGGAGTAGAATAGCTCGATTCTTTACATCTTGCCTTCTTAAATACTCAATTATCTCGATAATGAGCCATTCTGTGAGAATTTAACTGAAAGAACATAATAAATTTGAGAGATTAACGCACAATGACCAAAACAGTCGAGTTTGATCTATTCCCCTTCATCTCTTCACTCCATAGGAACAATATCACAAATGTTTATATTATTTATTCGGTGAAACGAACAGCGATACGAATTTAACTTAATACTAAGTGCCAACAAGTGTAACAACGCTCATGGGTTTGTGTAATTAACTGATTAACGAATCTTCACGTTTTTCAACGAACGAATAATCATAAAATGACTTGTCATTGTTGTAAATATATTTGTATTTAAATGCATTTTATTACAAAAGTGGTAATTCAAGGTAAAGTGTGGTAGAATTGATTGTGTATTATTATTTAAGATATTGTAATAAAAAGAACAGATTTAATAACAAAAATAGTTGGGATATTCAATCACTCTTGATGTGATCGTTGACTTTGGCGTTTAGATTATCGTTGAACCACAAAATCGCGTTGATTATCTCGTCGATTTCGACGGGTCCTGTGCTGAGGGGATGGTTGTCGGCGTATACTAGCATTCTGAAAATTAAATTGTTTAAATTTTTTTTAATGATTGAACAATTTAACAATTAACTGGTGATTTTGAAAATTCTCATTTAGGAAAGAAGTTGATTGGCATTTTTTGATCAATCTAACGCTTTCAGAGATATTTTCAAAATTGGCATTGAATTTCTAGACATGACATCATAAAAAAAAGACATTTAGAGAATTTTATAATGTGATGTCTTTTTAGATTTGATGAAACAATTTACTTGTGATTCTATCAATTTTTTTCGTAAACCCAATAAATTCAATGATGTTCATAAAATCATCTGACTTAAATTTTTTAATAATCGGAGACAGTATTGTTAATTATTTGAAAAATAACTTCAAAAGGAAAAGATTTAGTGGGACTTATCAAGTGACTCCTTTTTCGTGAATTTTATGATCTACGAAAGAAGTTTATTGACATTTTTTGATAAGAACCTAATAATTTTCGAGATATTTTCAAAATTTCCATTGAATTTCTAGAAGTGATGTCATAAAAAAGAAGAGATTTAGATAACTATCAAAAAAGAGGTCATGGTGTGACCTCTTTTTCAGGAATTTCATGATCTACAAACAAGTTCATTGACATTCTCCCAAAAATCTGTTGATATTTGCCAAATAAATGCATCGAAATTCCTCCAACCTTGACATTTACGTCGCTCAATCATGTAACGTTATGACAACAGCATACATACTTTGTTTTCACTCCATTGGCCTTGAGACGAAGATACCAGTGTTTGCCCTGTGATGGTGGTACTCGTAGATCATTCTTTCCAATTAGCATGAGCGTTGGTGCCTTGACCTTGTGAGCATGAACAATTGGCGAACACTTGAACATTTTCACAACCATCTCTGCTGTTTCCTCCGATGACATCTCGTCGTACGACGAGTTCGTCACTGCTGCACACCTAAAATTACAAATCAAACTTTGATGAATCAGGCGTGATGAGAGACAAGATAATTATGACCAATTACAAGCACAAGTGATGATGAATTACATCGACTTCTAGTGTGTCATTAAACAACATGAATGAAAATAAATGGTTGTAAATGTTTTTATTAACTACACTGTTAAAAAAATGGGAATTTCATGGATAATTTATTAGTAATTCTGAGGAGAATGACGTGGAGTTTGATTTTGGGGAAAATTTGTTGAAATTTAAATTTATTGATTCCTGATTTTGGAATTTCAGTCATGTGAAACTTTAATTTACTTGTTTTTCCATAAAAACATCAATTTTCAGTACCAAATTACTTGAAATTTTCTATTCGAGAACATTTTACCGGAATTTTCTTGATGTCTCTTCATTTTTACAAAAGAATTCGCCAGAAATTTAAATTTTCCACTGATTTTTCCATAAAATTGTGAATTCTCCATGACAAAATCCCTTGAAATTTCCGGAAAACTATAATGTAATAAAAATTTCCAGAATTATACCAGCAATTTCATGCAAAATTTTTTAACAGTGTACGATACATGAGAAAACCAAGGCGATAAATGATCGAAGTTATCAATGATTAATCAATGAAATTTCTAACTAAAGACTTAAGCAAAATTCCAGGCTTACACGTCGTGATGTAGCCTAATTCTCTCGTCTTTTCGCAATGCATTACGACTGAAATACAAATTCCCATACATTACCGTTTGATCTAGAATTTAAACTGTTGGTCAATCACTGAATCAACTTACCAATCAGGGATATCCGATATCGTAAACATGGCTGCGATGTCGATGACTGGATTTCTGGCCACAACTGCCTTGTACATGGTCTATGGATTGAGGAAAAAAATTAATGTTGTAATAATTGAAATGAAGACATTGTTCTTCTGGAAATTAAATGCTGAGTCGAGTAATTTTACCGGATATTGTCCACTGAGATGAGTGACGAGGAATCCTCCGTGAGAGCCACCACTCAGGGCCACTCGGTCGGGGTCCAACCAGGGGTATTTCTTCAGGGCTTCTCTCGTCGCTGTCACGCAGTCTTTCACGTCTACATCGCCCACTCTCCCTTGGAGGTACTCCACGTTGTCGAGGCCCATTCCAGTGGAGCCTCTGTAGTTCACTTGGACTATTCCATATCCTGATCGTGCGGAGAATTAAAAACATATCATATTGATTATTCAGAGTTTAATCTGTTAGAGATGAGGAGAATCAACACCACTTGCAGGGGAAACCCAGCACTGTCGCTAAAAAATTTAATTGAATTCCCATTGGAACTTTGTAAGAATTTTGTTGGTGTTCTATTGGATTTTTTTTACAATTCTGTTGGTTTTGTATTCAATACATAAGCCCCTGTAGATGTTTGGAAACAATTGGAATTTTATTCAATTCATCATAGGTATGTTTTGATAGGAAGAATGTATAGATACTGATTCCTCCATACAATTTATTCTATCGGGATTTTTTCTATAAGAATTCTTGGGAACGAATATTTCAAATTTTTTTCTTAAATTTTACTATGAATAAAGAAAAATACAGCGAAAAAAACTAGAAAAAATTATGGCTAAAAATTTCTAAATACGAAAAAATTAAAACCGTTAATAAAATAGAATTAAAAAATTGACTTTTTTCTACCAAATGGCTCTCAAAATGACACTTTAAAAAAGCCATTAAAATTATTCAACAGAATTTCATCAGAACTCTACTAAAATTCCCACAAATTCTTTCATAATTTTCATTCCTCACCTAATAACGCAAGTAAAGAATACTCCAAATAGAAAATATTCGCATAATTGGCATGGGGACCCCCATGAGGCACAATAATCAGGGGAACCTCCCTCTCGCCCCCGCTTTGGGGTCCAAAATAAGTGAAATTGAAGTCCTTCACAGTTTCCTCCCCCTCGTACACATAATCCACGCTCTCAGCTTTCAAGTTCTCCATTCCCTCGATCACACGGGCCTCAGTGATGCCACTCAGCTCCACTTTGCCCGCCTCCCCCTCGAACCTAGTGGCCACCAGTCTGGATGGCCTCAGCAACGAGGTATTCAGCATCAAAACAACATTATCAGAGACGTCCAGCACCACCAGACTAGTATCATCATTATCGATCTCAGTCAGAACCTTTGTTTCAGTGTTCAGTGCGTAAGACCTGACATTCGATCGCTGGGGAGTGCTCAGGAATAAGTATCTCGAGTCCTTGCTCCAGCATCTCCTCGGTAAATCTCGATTGTAGAGTCCGTAGAAGGGAACTCCTTTGTTGATATCTATCTTGGTCTTCACGAGGTCGATCAGAATACTTGGAGTCCTCTCCTCACTCTCCCAGTCGATCGACATGAGTCTGTGGGTGGTGTGGTGGGGCCCATTGAGCTCTCGCTCCAACCAGACAAGTTTCTTCCCGTCTGGACTGAACCTGGGCGATCTCACTCCCCTTTTATCGGCGGACAATTTCTGGAAGGTACCGTTTTTGAGAAGGAAGACCCAGGATTCTCTGTTGGTGCAGGCGATCAGGCCCAGGTATCTGCAATTATGTTTTTGTGGTTGGGGAATAGAAAATCTCTATTAATAAAGGGAGAAATATCAATTTTAAAAAGAATATTTAATCTTAATGCATTTGCATTACTCAATTCCTAATGCATTTGATAACCCAATTCCTCCGGATTGAGACTGAAGTTATTTTTTTATTTAATGCATTCAAATTGAGACTGAAGTTTATGTCAAATTACGCACAATAAGTTGAACTTTCACAAGTTTTATTTAATTGTACGATATGCAGGTGGAATTGTGCATTCCATTTTTGGAAAATAATTTCAATTTAATAGACAGTTGTCAACAGGCGGTTGAATCATTTTCAAGGGAGCGGAAATAAATTTGATTTAAGGGGGGAAATGGAATTTCAATGCTATTTCTATTTTTTGAGCAGCAGGAAGACGAGAATTCCCCAACTTACGTGAATTTTCCATAAAAATACATTCAGTAACTAATTTTTAATTAACGAAAAATTGAAAAATATATGATAGAATAATTCCACTCATGTTTTAAATTTCCAATGACGAAATTCCTTGAAATTTCAGTGCAACAATAAATGTGATAAAAATCTGAGGAGTTTTCTGGAAATTTCATGAAGAAACAAAAATTTTGCCATCTCCCTTAGATTCCGAGATATTGATTGAAAACTGGTCAGTAGTCAAAATTGACTCATCTCCTTTTACCACTTCGCCACTGAAATCTATTGCTATTGGAATTCCTTCTGCATACCTAGGCTCGTGGTTCCATGCGATTCCAACGACTCCATCGCCATTCGGCGTCCAGACCACCTGCCCAGGGGACAAGGACTCATCAATCCCCGGAAGAACCGTCAAAGTGTCGGTCGTGGTGTCCAGAACGACCACCACCTGCTGGTGCTTCCCCTCCAACGCCTCTCCCCAGTCCGGCTTGTAGATGTACTCATTCCCCTTCACTGGTTCTTCCTTCTCAGGTTTATCCGACTTCTTGTCCTCCTTCTCTGGTTCATCCTTCGACTCCTTGTCCTCCTTCTCAGCTTTATCCTCCGACTTCTTGTCCTGGGGCTTCTGCTTGTAAAAAGGCTCGGACTTCGGCAGTTTCTTCTCGGCAATGTACAGGAGTTTTGTGGCGTCTGGGGACCACTGGAACGAACCGAACTCGCTGTCTGTGTAGACGTCACCATGAACGTCCAACGCGGAGAGGTCGTAGTTCTTCATCTGGCAGCGCTGGTCCCAGATCTCGATGAATTGCTTTGGGGCGTCTTTCTCTTTTCCTGGGGCAGTACGGAGGACTGCTTTGCGCTGGTTGTCATCGGTGGTCTTGGAAGCGAGCCTAAAGAGCATTAGGAGGGTTGAAATTGAGAGGAATGTGTTCTAGTGAAACTATACGGAAAAATAGTGGGGAAGATTTTCATCTCGGAAGAATATTTCTTCAAGTCGTGTACAAAATTCTCGGGAATTTGTGCATTTCAGGTTCTGAGCCGTCTCTACTGGTGTTAAATATTCAGAAGATTTCAAAGGATGGTGGAGAGAATGAAACCAACACTCATCTAATTGTCATTCTGTTCTTCTGCGTTTCTTCACATTAATTTTGCCATCATTTCGTCTCGGAAGGAATTAAAAAATCTTCTGAAGCTTTTTTTAAGATTTTCTAAATTGTTTTGAGAGTAGAATTAACATTGGGAGAAATTGAAGAATTAAAATTGTAATAAAATACAAAATGGGCTTTAGTGACGTTAAATTTTAGAGACAAACATCAGCAGACGTTTTCACAGCTGAAGAAGTTTCCTACAAATTTCTTCACTGTTTCATTTGTTCACGTAAATTTTTCAATCACCTCGTTTTGGAAGCAATGAAAAATCTCTTGAATTTTTTTTCTAGAATTCATAAATTGTCTCGAGGGTTTATGAAGTTATGGACGTTCTTCATGATATTTACTCAGACGTAATATCGACGGGGAAGCTCTGCGACTGAACTTGAAAATTGCTCGTCAAGGAGTACTCAATTTGGAATTTTTGATTAGTAGTTCTCTCCAAATTTCTCTGGCTCCATGTGCTCTCCACCGCAATCTCACTCGCAGTTGTGCGTACGATTTTCGCAGCTGTTAATGACGGGTTTTGAGCAATTGTCTTGTACAGTTTCAGAATTTTCTCCATCTGAAAAAATTGACAGTTATTATCGAAAAATTAATCCTCGATTCCCAGTAATTTCATCCGATAATAAAGAATAATACCTCTTCAGACGACATTTTGGAGCAATACCTTTCGTTTCAGGCTTCTCAATGACGATATGGAAAGACTTTCAGCCTGAGGGTTAAATGATAAGAAATAAATATTTAGAGTCACTGTTTACTTGATGATAAATTTACACTTGTGTCGAGGCACCTGCTCCATCTGATAAACTACGCGAGAGGTTCAGGTATTTACGGCGGTGCGGGCATGCAGGAGGTGAAACGGAGGGGAATCTATTGTTCTCTCACAGAGAGTCAATCGCAGAATAAAAAAACCATGTTTCAATTACAAATTTTCAGCCTATTTCGGTCATTTTTGCATTCGAAATATTTTTTTAATAACTTTTCAATTTTTTTATCACATATTTCAGCATTCTTCCATTTTTCTAACTTGTCATTTGGATAATTCAAAAATAATTAATATGGTTAGAAAAAGTGACAACGTCATGCCGTTGGAGATACAACTTGGCAGCACTGATTCTCTCAGCTGTTATGTTCTTCCACTGCGAAATATATCATCACAACTCCATTCGTATTTGCCGCGCTTACCCCTCCTCGATTGCTTACATCGACGATGTGTATATTCCAATTTGCGCACACACAACTCCTATTTATCATAAGTTTTTTAATTATCCCGTCGTTCTAAACAATTCTCCTCGGCCACTTGGATTTTTTTTTATGTTCCTCCATGCAAGCTCCATTCAAGTACGAAATTTCAGGAAAATAGCGACTTTTTAAATGTTTTTAACATTTTTTTTCCGAATTCTCATGAGAGCCTGTGTTAAAGTGCATTTTTTAGAAAAATTTACGTGATTCACCCATTCTCCTTGACTACCGGAGATTTTGAATAGGGATTTGAACCTAATTATTATCAAATGTAATTTAGATGAAAATAATTAATAATAATAATGAATAATTTTCCATTTAAAAAATGCGAAAAGAAGTAAAAAAAAATCATATCTAATCATTATCATCTAAATTGCATCTTGCACTACCTTAATATTTATTCAACATTATTTTCTTATGAATAGAATTAAACAAATTGATATAAAAAATTTAGATGAAAAAATTTCTCCATTTTTTATATTTAATGAAAAAAATTGGGATTTTACATTTGTCTGCAACTGAAATATTCAAAGTTTATTTGGTTTTGGCGGGAAGATGACAGGGTGAAGGGGTAAAGGCAAGTACGCAAGAGGCATTTCTATGAAAAACGCATCAAATTCATGCGAATCAGCTCCCTCAGTGCCTAAAGTGTAAATACTCACGTTTGTTTTGTTTACATTCTTTCAAGTAATAATAAAATGAACAAAACAGCCAAATGTGGCTAATTTCCCTTCATCAAGTTAAAAATAATAACAACCATAATGGAGAAGTATATAAGGCTTTATCAAGTGGGCGAAGGATCGTTTGGACAGGTCTTTAAAGGAAAAAAATGTTCTGACGGTGAAATTGTTGCGATAAAAATCATACGAAAGGTAGGACCCTCAGTAAATTATTTATTTAATATATTCAATCGGATTCCAACGATTGCGATTTACATCAGATCGGACGTTCGTCCAAAGAACTCCATGGTCTTCGCCAAGAATGCGAGATTCAGAAGCATCTTCACCACCCCAACATCGTCCAGATGATCGACTCCTTCGAGACGGAGAAGGAGCTCGTCGTCGTGACAGAATACGCAGACAAAGAGCTTTATGATATTTTGGGACAGAGCGGAAGACTCTCTGAGGAGAGAACCCAAGTTATTGCCTGTGATCTAGTCTCAGCACTTTATTATCTTCACTCCAATCGAGTTCTGCACAGGTTCGTCATCTCCATTCATCATTTCCTTTAAAACCAATTCTCAAATATCAAGAGAGGAAGATAAAATTTCCAAAGAGAAAAATAAGAGTCGAAGAAGAAAATCTACGCAACGTTTCCTATCTCTCCAATTTTAAGCTGGGGAGAGATGATTGTTGTCAACCTCGAATCAATTACTAAACTTTGACACGACTTTTTGATGAATACTTTGAATCTCACGGATCTACCAAAATCTCCATGAAGAAGTTGACAAGTTCATGGAGTATCGAAAAAATAACAACGAAGTTAATTAAAGTGTTAAAATGCAACGTTTCGTTAAATTATTCTATTTCCCTTAAGTTCTTGACTGCATAATCGCTAACATGACTCAGAGTTGTGATTGAGGAAGCGATAAAAAAAACTACAGTATTACTGAGATGAATTCCCCATTTCGCCATTTTCTGAAAACCGTCATGATCAGATCGAGTCAACTTGCTGTCGACCACCCATCCAATTCCTTTCCCCACCTTATCATAATTTTGGACCATGGAGATGTCACACTCATTGACCTCACAAAACCCTTTTGCATCTCAAAGCTCTCTAAAGACTCCGCCATGTCCAAGAAAGCCTGCCCCAAGAGTCTCCAAACAACCCTAATGATCTCAATGATCCCTTTCCACAGAGACCTGAAGCCCCAGAATGTTCTCGTGGAGTCCAACGGTGTAGCCAAACTCTGCGATTTCGGTTTCGCGCGTAGCATGAGCACGGGAACGCACGTATTAACTTCGATAAAAGGAACGCCCCTGTACATGGCCCCAGAGCTGATCGAGGAGCACCCTTACGACCACAACGCGGACCTCTGGTCCCTCGGTTGCATAGTCTACGAACTCCTAGTGGGTTTCCCCCCATTCCAAACCACCTCAATCCTCCACCTAGTCAAGCTCATTCGTTTCGAGGCCGTCAAATGGCCGGAGTTCCTCTCCCCGCACTGCAAGAGTTTCCTGCAGGGTCTCCTGCAGAAGGACCCCTCGAAACGCTTGACGTGGCCTGAGCTGCTGGACCACCCTTTCGTAAAGGGAAGAATACTGATTCTCAATGGAGAAATACCGATGACTGCGCCTTTCACAACTCCTCTATCAGCCTCCCAAGCCCTAGCTAAACAACAGCAGCTTCAACATCTAGCCATGCAGTCTGCCAGCCACTCTGGAATACTGGAGAAAGCTGTGGAGAAGGTCCAGGCGCAAGAACGTAAACTACGAGACCAAAGACTCCGAACTTGCATGTCACAGCCCCGATACCCCATGACGATGCACGGATACTATCCTTACACCACTGGGCAACCTTTCCACCATCCCCTGGGGCGCAGCCATCCCAGTGGCACCGACTCCAGCGCCAGCGTGGATGTTCTCCTCGGGAATTTGAGCCTCAGAGCTTCCTTGCAAAGCGATCTCTTGGTCTTCGATGGCGTTAATCAGACCCTGTGTCCCTCCGATTGCCCCAGTATTCAGTACAACCAGAACGACGAGCTGGTCCATCTCCCTGAAGTCATGAAGGAGAACGTCAACCAGAACATCCAAGCCTATCAGAATGTTCATCTCTCAAACAAGCCGAGGTTGAAACAGGAGAGGAGTAGATTGAGTGCTGATTACGAGAGAGAATTTGGTGTTGAAGATTCGTCAGAGAAGATCGAAAGGGGCTCGAGACTTCCAGACTGGGATGCCAGGGTTGTGGATCAACATATTGAGAATGAAGAGTGGGTGGCATTCCTACAGAGGTCCATGGAGGAGGTCATCGATGGGGAGATCACGTCTCTCCTGCAGGAGAATTGCGTCTCGGTTTTTGTGTCGCCCCTGAGGAACTCTGGGGCTGGCTGTAAGGTCATTGAGTTCGTGGCTTGTCTGCTGTCTCTGCCGTTTGTGGTGGCAGTTTCTAAGGAGAACCTGAGGAAGATCGAGGAAGTTTATCTTGATGTGAGGGTCGTGCCCAATCTGGTCTACGCGGTGAAGCTGTTCATGTCTGAGAGGGGGAGCTCTGAGAGTCTTGGGGATGATAATGATGGGGAGAGCTCTAAGGGAAGGACTCGTTCTGCTTCGTCTCTCTCTGCTGACGAGCTGCAGACCATCGAGTGCATCATGCTGATTCTCTGTAGACTAGTTTACGCTAATGAGAAGTTTTTGACTCAATTCTGTGATGCTGTTTATATTGTTAATGGAGTGCCTTTGCTGCAGCAGTTGTATACTTTGGAGAAGAGGAAGCCCAGGGTTGTCGCAGATCTGGTGGCTATTTTTAATAATATTTTGAGGTCTCAACCGGAGAATGCTGAACTCGTGGAGAAGGTCGTTTTAGGGGCTGAGGGGGCTGTGGAGCAGCTTGTCAAGTTGCTGTCGCACAGGCAGATTGTGTTGCGGGTCAGGGGGTGCATTTTAATTAAGCTGTTGGCTAGGTTTTGCTGCAGGGCGCTGCAGCAGATCTGGGGGAGGTCGTTGAAGAATCTGTTGGAGGGGCTCGTTATGGATGATAATGAGGGCGTCAAGAAGAATGCTGAGGGGGCTATTGGGGAGCTCAAACAGTTGAATTATTATGAACAACAAAGCCCCTGTTAGTTGTATTTATAGTTTTCTAAGGGTTGTATTGGAATTGGAATAGATATTTTTTTATTGGTGAAATTTGGAGCATATTTTATTATCACTAGCGCATGGTGGAATCGAGATTTGGGCGATAAATGATAGAAAAGTCCAGAATGATGAAAGGCTCTCGTAGGTAACCTCCAAATCAATCGAGAAGATTTCATAAATTTTTAAGGTAATTTTACGATAAAATCAGGAAAAATTAATGTAAAAATTCCCTCGCAGAAAACTGCTGCATCGGACTGGAGCTTTTTATAACTTTCTAGAACCTTCTATGTATTTTCGGAGAAACAGATGTCTCAAACTATATAGAATAAGATTTTTTTCACCATCATTGTTCTAAGGAAATCTTTGTGGCATTTATTCGTGTTTTATACAAGCGTTTTCTAGTTTTCTTTCATTTGGATCAATTTTTATGTTTCGTTGTATCTATTAGCGCATTCTTCTTTATACATTTCTTGTATTTTAGAAACATCTTTGTCACTGAGCTTCTCACGTTGACCAATTTTTACTCCTCTTTCCTATCAATTAGAAAAATTAAACATATTTTAGATCATTTCGATTCAAAGATATTTATGAAAAACTAATTTCGAATCTAAATTCACTAGTTTAATTTCTTGAATAGGTTGTTGTTTGACCATTGTAATTATTTTCAATATTCAGATGACAACGGATTCACTTAAGCGGTCTTCAGCAAATTTATAAACGTAGAAATGAAGTTGAAGTTGAAGAATTCTTTGCGATGACCTAACGTTTCGTTTTTCAGGGAAGACCTCATCAGGGACTTCTTTATTTAATAATTTTATTTCTTTAATTTCTTTAATTTATTGCAACTTTATGCTCACCAACGGAATAATCGTAGGTTGTCCATTAGCTGAGAATACTTTACGACTGTAATGCATGATGCTTTTGTAGTCGTAGCCAACACCAAAGTCAGTCACAGTGTCTTCCTCATACTTTTTGAAATTTTTCTCCTTCCCTGGAAAAGTGAATTAATAACGACAAATTATTCATGTTCGATTATTGGTGCAATTTATTTCTGTTTAGATAGAAATTTGGGTTCTACCTGTTTTGATATTCTCCCAAACAACTTCAATGTAGTTATCGCGATCGTAACTGCTGTGCTGATGATGAAAGCCAATGGCATGCATGATCTCATGGACAATGGATCCATGTTTGACACATTTGGGGCGCTGAAGGTTTATCGCTTGGCCAGCGTCCTGTCTCCCCACTGACGACCAACATCCTGCTTTGCTTGATTGAAACGATATGTAGTCCTTGTCAATGCTCTTGTTATAGGGACGAAATTGTAGACATGTTCTTTGGTGGTATTCCTCCATTGCTCGGAGTATTACTGAAGTCTCAGCCTCATCTTAAATTCAATAACCAGAATTAGAACATCTGATTAACTGAATGAACCAAAAATTATAGCTTAATTAGGGTTTCTCATGATTTTATTAATCGCCGGATCAGGGAATTGGAGAGAAATTATTCGATACGATTTTTTTATCTCTATAAATGATGAAAAATAAATAGGAAATATGTGATTTTACAGGAAAATATTATTTGTGAGATTTTTTTTCCAAGAATTTTCTCCGCAAAAAAAATGTCACCAATAATATTTTTCACTCAATTGTTGTATTCTATCATTTTATGACTTTTTGCAATGAAAGGAGTGTGAAGAATGGGTATTTTCGAGTTTGACAACTTCAGTATTAAATTGATGTAATGTTTTACATACTGAAGTGGCCGTCCTTCATCTTGAAAGGCACAATCCCATTGGACCATCGTTTCGAAGTATCGAGGAGTCCCTTAGCATCCTGATGATCATCCGGATTAATCATAATATCTCCCTCGATTAATCCACTCAATTCCCAAACGTTCTCCTCGTCCCCTTCCTCCCAGGCATTCACTCTATCATCTATTAATTATTAATTAATCAATTAACAATTCTAGAATGCTTAATGAAATGACAAGTTGTAAAAAAATGATAATTAATCAATTGACAATCAATTAAATTCTCACATATTTCCGTGTCGTCATAACGTTCCTCGAAACTCCGGATAAATCGCGAATGTGATGATTCCAATGTTTTCCTCGGTTCATGATTACTGTGGGCTGAAGAATCGATGATATTTACGTGATTATCTCCACGCGAAGGGGAAATATGAGTGGATGAAAAAGTGGCAAGTGCTACTATGCCGTTTTAAAGGAGAACTATCATTACATCTGTGAAGTGGTGAAACGTAACTAGTCGCGACGAATATGAATCCATCTCAACGACCAGGGATTTTCGGAAGAAATGTCAAGAGGAGTTTTCATCAGATATTGCTTCAGCTGTGAAGAACGTCTAAACTTCTCTCCCTGAAGTCACTTGCCCTCGAGATAAATGCACAATCCTCGATAATTTCACATTCGACTCACGCATTGCGTTCTACCACTTTACCACAACTGGAGGCAATGACTTCACTCAACTTCACTGTATACATGAGGCAACGTGCCTTGAGAAGTTCAATTGTGTTGGTCATAATACCAGTTGACAATCGCCAACATCATGAATTTCGATAGTGAAATTGCGGAAAAAGCGAAAGGAGTAGACAGTTTTTTCATCTCTTGATGAATAGTGTTGTGTCCATGCGAATCTCGTTGGCTTGACGGTGAAAAGTGAAGTAATGAGGGCGCATCAAGGTTGCAGACAGAAATGTGTTAAATACTTGAGTTTGATCGTTAATTGTTCGAAATTCGTGAATATGACATCATCTCGATGACTAGGGGTTTCAGGAAGAAATGTCGAGAGACAGTTTTCGCCAGATATTTCTTCAGCTGTGAAAAACCTCTGAACTTCTCTCCCTGAAGTCACTTGCCCTCAAGATAAATGCGCAATCCTCGATAATTTCACATTCGACTCACGCATTGCGTTCTACCACTTTACCACAACTGGAGGCAATGACTTCACTCAACTTCACTGTATACATGAGGCAACGTGCCTTGAGAAGTTCAATTGTGTTGGTGATAACACCAGTTGACAATCGCCAACATCATGAATTTCGATAGTGAAATTGCGGAAAAAGCGAAAGGAGTAGACAGTTTTTTCATCTCTTGATGAATAGTGTTGTGTCCATGCGAATCTCGTTGGCTTGACGGTGAAAAGTGAAGTAATGAGGGCGCATCAAGGTTGCAGACAGAAATGTGTTAAATACTTGAGTTTGATCGTTAACTGTTCAAAATTTGTGAATATGAAATCATCTCGATGACTAGGGGTTTCAGGAAGAAATGTCGAGAGACAGTTTTCGTCAGATATTTCTTCGGCTGTGAAAAACCTCTGAACTTCTCTCCCTGAAGTCACTTGCCCTCAAGATAAATGCGCAATCCTCGATAATTTCACATTCGACTCACGCATTGCGTTCTACCACTTCGCCACAGCTGGAGACAATGACTTCACTCAACTTCACTTATACATGAGGTAGCGTGCCTTGAGAAGTTCAATTGTGTTGGTGATAATGCCAGTTGACAAGCGCCAACATCATGAATTTCGATAGTGAAATTGCGGAAAGAGCGAAAGGTGTTGACTGTTTGTTCATCACGTGATAAATATTTTTGTGTCTATGCAAATCTCGATAGTTTGAAGGTGAAAAGTGAAGTAATGAGTGAACATGAAGGTTAGCGACAAAAATGTCGTGTTAAATACTTGATTTTTATCGTTAACTTCAACAAATTCGTCGAGTGAAATTTTTAAATTGTTATTTTGACTGTAACGCCGTCAAAGAAATTGTGTTTTGACCCTGAATTAATCATTTTCATCTTCGTGAAGCCTTCATCGAGGTAAGAATTTCCTAGTAAATTGGTGAAAAATTTTTTTAGTTGAAGACAATTATGAAATATAATTTTCGGATAAAAAATAGGAGATACCTTTTTTTATTTTCAAATATTTTAAAAAATTGAGGAGTGACAGCCAATTGAAGAGACATTTTCAATCGCTTACTCATCAATTTCTCATTATTCATTAAAGTAAAAAAAAATATGCCTAATATTTTTGATTAGTGTTTTTAGATTCAGCAACGAAGAATTTTCATGCGAAACCCCAGTTACACGCGCGTAATCAATTATCCCATTTTGTTAATGAATTAGAAGTCAAGTTATCACGACGAATTAATTATCATATCAGTTATTTTAATACATTAAATAGTATATTTTACAAGTATAATTAGTAAGTGTAATTAACTAGATTTTTACAATGTTATAATCGAATCAGTATCAGTCAATTTGTTACGTGTTAATTTATCTTAAAAGATTCATGGAAATATCCAGTTCAGAGCATTATCGACAGACTCACTGCTCTTCTCATTCTCATCCCGTATTCTGCACTGCTCCTTGTACATGGTTTGTACTTTACTGATATCCTTCTTGCTGAAGCCATTGCGCTGTCCAATAGTCACTCCCTCTTTCTACAAATAAATAAACGAGAATAAATGCACTCAGCTGCTAAAAAATACTAATGATTTTCTGTAAAAAAAATTAAAACAATGGAGATAAACTCACGAGTGGAACAATCGTGGCTTTTCCATTCGATGTGAATGCTCTTCCACTGTAGTGCATTACACTTCCGTAATCGTAACCCACTCCGTAATCAGTCACAACTTTGCTGCTGTATTTATCGAAGTTGTGTTCTTTTCCTAGAAGGGGAAACGAAATTTAAATGAATTTTGACGCGTTTGTAGATTATTTTGAATCATTGCAGATTATTTTGCGAATATATTGGTGAAGATTTTTCGTCAAGGGATTTTTCTCCTGGGATTTTAAGGAATTTTATCATTGAAAATTCACAGAAGTCAGAAAAATTAAGGAAATTTATTCGTGCGTTTTGAATTAATTGAAAATTCAACGTAATTAGCACTGAACTTCATTATACTTTCAACGAAAATAGAAACTAAGCAATTTTTTCCCCTAAATTGAATTAAATGTCGTTCTCTTGAAAAATATCACTCGTGCCCTCCCTCTAACTGTGTATTTTTGAAAGAAGAGGTTTAGTTATTTCAGTTCCTTGATGTTCGCGAAATAATTTCAAGTCCAAAAGAAAAAAATCCAAATTTGCAGGAGTTCAGAAGAAAAATTTTTCTTTGCGGAAAATTTTATCAACAGAAAAATAGGTCTTTTAACTGATTGAGATTCTCAAAGAGTTCAATCACTGTTTGGAAGAAAAAATCTTGGGAAAGAATGACTGAGAACTTTTTTGTGAAGAATTTAGTGGGCTACAAACAGAGATGGCTATCAATCCCTGAATTCTCCGATATTATCTCCGATATTAAGAGAATTTGAACCTTGCATTGAAATATAAAAATAATAAAATAATTGATGATCTAAATTTCCGATTGAAGATGAATTAAGTAATTAATAATATGAGACTGTCAATTATCCAGTGAGTAAATAATACTAAATTTCATGAAGAGGATTACAAATAATCCAAACCAAATAATCGTTAATCTTTCTCACTAAATTATTGATTGACAAAATACTTCGGAATTTGAATATTTAATTGATGATTAATTCAATAATTAAAAATTGTAGAGTAATATTAACGAATTGACTACAATAAAAATAAGACTTATTGCGGATGAAAGACTAATTTCATCAATGTTAAAAAAAATTACCTTTCGAAATATTATCCCAGACAATTTGAACATAATCGTCCCTATCAGCGCTGCTCTGCTGATGATAAAACCCGAGGGCATGCAGCATTTCATGAATAATAGTGCCATGCTTAAGGCAACCGGGGTTCTGCAGGTTTATCACTTGACCTTTTCCCTGTCTTCCCACCGATGACCAACACCCCGACGCACTTCCTTGAAATACAACGTAGTCCTTGTCAGACTTATTGTAGGCTCTGAACCGCAAGCAGGTTTTTTCGTGGTACTCTGCGATGGCGGCCTTAATCGCCGCGATATTCTCCTCACCTGTGAATGTAAAAAGTTGAGATGAGACGAGATTGATTGCGCGAATGACTGAGATGTTGGCGTCGAGGCTGATGTCCGAGAGGTGTCGAAATGATTGGTTGTGCAGACGTACCAAAGTCCTCCTCCTGAATGTAGAAGGGAACGATGCCACCGGGCCACCTCCTGGCCTCTTCAAGGAGACCATTCTTTTGGGGATTTGGCATTATGTCTCCCTCGAGGAGTCCACTCAACTCCCAAACGTTCTCCTTGTCCTCTGGAGTCCATGACTTCACTCTCTCATCTGTTGATTAATTCATCGCATTGATTGTAAGTCCAATTGGTGCATAAAAGTGTACGTTTCTTTTTTTTTTGTTTTGGAAAATCAAGGAGTTTATCAATTTTATTTAATTTCTTGCAAAAAAATTAATCTAAAATATTTGCATAAAATTTTAGATATATTCCTTTTATTATGAAAAATCAAGTTTATAAATTTATTGAATTTCTTTCAAACATTTGGTGCGTAAAATGTTAGATATATTCTTTTTATTTTGAATAATCAAGAAGTTTATTAACTTCTGTTATCGATTTTTCGTTATTTGTGGATTTTATTTATTTTATTTTATTTCTTCGATACGCAATGGACTTCTAATTTTTAGGTTCACACGACAGCAAAAATTATTGATAATTGTTTAAATTCAGACACCTGTTTTCCGAATTCTCAATCTATTGAAATTCAATTGCGTACGGATTAATTTGCGGAGGGAGAGAGAAAACTCATGAATTACTCCTAAATGTTAGTAATAGTGCACTATTTACTAACAATATGTATTTATTTATTTATTTGTTTATTTTATTTTATTTATTCTAGTAATAGTGCACTATTAAAACATTGAAAAATAACGAGGGTGCTTGTTCAAAGTCATATATACCATGATCATCTCATAATCCGATATAATCCTAATATTTTTCGATGGACTTGTAAAAAAAAATTAATCCTTCCCCTAAGAAAATTAATTCACTTCTCAGGAAAAAATCCCCTCAACATTGCACTTCACCGTTGCCCTCTCTTTCCCCATTTCCGGTAAAAATTCCTGAGATAGACGTCCATTTTGTTCCACAATTCCCTAAATTCAAGGGTAATTATCCCCCGAGTGTGTTCTCCACCCAAAACTCCCCAAAAATAAAAAAACAATAAACCAAAAATTCTTACAAATTTCCTTGCGATTATAATCCTCGTCAACGGCCTCAATGAACTTGATCTGCGGTGGAACAGCCGGTTCTCCACCCCCGGGAAGACTTCCTGTCGGCAATCCCCAGCTCAATCCAACGGCAACCACAAAAACCAGTAGATTCGCTGCTAAAGCCATGATGTCCACCAAATATATGAATATTGTCGCTCGAGGTGTCCCCTGTTTTATATCCCCAGAGGCATACCCTTACTTCCTCCGGGAAATCACAAGACTCGCGATAGTAGAAGTAGCTCAGATAATCGCAATCACAATTGAGTGTACTTCCCCATTTTTTCATCCTCTCTGATTACAGATTTACGTTGTCATTCAGGAGATAACTAAAATTGGCGACGCAATATTGATGAAAATAATGAGATTGTCCCCGTGATTTCGAATTTCTTTCTGCTCAATTAAAAAATCAAACAAAGAGAAACTCGAAATTCCTGTCGTCAACTTATCAACTTGTTTCGGATTCTAGACCTTCGTTAGACCATAAATTAGATAGCAATGCATTGCCTTGTTTCTCTCTACGTTTTCGGAATATTAAGCGTTGATGTTTATCCCTGGGCTGTTCTGCAAGGCCTCAAACTTTGTCGCTGCAGGGAAAAAATGGAACGTGAGTTTTTTCCTCTTTCATTCTGCTTATTTGGGGGATTTTTTAAAAAATTGATTCCAATTGATCGCAGTTGCAGGGTAATTTATATAATCGTGAGTAGATAATCAATTATGAGTGCGATAACTGACGGGCAGACGAGAGTTCCGGCGATAAAGAATTTGTATTCTGCGGGTGATACGATGGATTTGGATATCTGGAGCGTTTCATTAATCGAATGATGTGCTATGATTATTATCATGGAGATTCCGGTATTATTATCGATAATACCCAGAGAAATGCTGCATTTGGATGAAATAAAACGCTTCATTTGAATTTTTTCTTGTCTTTTCATCAATTTTTTTGGAAATTCATGTATTAATTTCACATTTAACCATTTTTTGGCTAAAATTTCCGGCAAACTTTTTTGCAATTTCTATCACATTATAGTTCTACTGAATTTTCACGGAATTTCGTTGTTGAAAATTCAAATTTTTTGGGAAACACGAATATCAACTGTGAATTTCAGTTTAATTATTCCATGAAAATTCATAGACATGAGGACAATTGAGGGAAATATATTTTTTAATTTCCAATTAATTGAAAATTCCGATAATTTTGACCTTCTCGTCTTCTTGCTGCTTGAAAATTTGAAATTTCATTCAATTTTTAGTGAAATCTAAAATTTGAATATTTTTTTCCATCTAAATTAAATTCAATGGAATTCTCCCGAATATTTCTAGTCATGTTCTATTAAATTTGAATTGATTTCTAACAGTGATAGAAATGAATAAAGAGACAAAGAAATTATATTTGAAAAACGATTTATTCTACGTGAATAAAAACGTGAATCAAAATCGTTGTCATCTTAGCATAAAAGCTTTACTATTAACTATTTGAAGACAGTCTACTCATTTTGAATGACCCATTTCCCCGGGTGTACAAATCGCCCAAAATGGACTCCCAACTTTTAAAAAATACGCAGCACTCATTGAATCGTTGCAAAAAGATGAACTTACCAATCCAACAATTCTCTGCACCTTCTTATGGCCATCTAACTATCACCGCAGACGGGCTTTCGATGCGGAACCGCTGACGGATGAGGAAATACCAAAGAATGAAGTGCCGCAAACGAAAGATGAGAGCGGTTTAAATATCGAATGTGGAAGGGCGACTCAAAAAAAGAAAAAGCTGTCGTACGGAGCGGAAAATCCGTTGAAAATTAACCCCGAATTTTAGTATTGAAATTTTTAGGGATTCGTGATTCTGAAATTCAACACGTTCAAAATTCTGGAATTCAATGATTTTGTCATTATATTCTAGCGATGGAGTTCTAAAGATCACTGACATGTTCCTGACAATAAAAAAAAATTCTCCGCATAAATACACAATAACTCAATTGTTTGTAAATAAAATTTCTAAAAATCCAGCATGCGAGGAATAAAAAAAAAGATAAAAATATAGTCTGGCGGAATAAAGTGCTTTACAATAACCAAAAAATTAGATTTCGGTAGCGAAGTGATAAAACGGTTTAAGTCGACTGATCTCTTAGTTGAGTTTTTGAAGAATATCTCCAAATCTAAAGGAGATAAGGAAATTTACGTGATAACCTTTTTTCTAGAGCAAATTGAGTGCGACGAAAAAGGTCTTGACGAAAATGTAGCTATCTCTCTTAGATTCCAAGGTACACGGAGAGAAATTTTCTCGAAAAATTCTTGGTATTTCTGGTAAAATTTCTGGGGATTTCCGTGAAATTTTGAGAGAAATACGGGGAAAAATTCACGTTTTCCCCAATAAAATTTCTGGTGCCGGCACTAGAATTTTTTCCTGGCGTCACTTTGCGCCTCTTTTCCCGTGCTAGCACTAGAATTTTTCTCAAAAATTTCTCTCCGTGTATTTACAAAAAACTGGCCAATAGTCAAAATCGACTTGAACCGTTTTACCACTTCGCTACTGATTTGAATAACTTGAACTGATAAAATGCCTCCAACTGTCCCCCGATTGAAATTGCGATAGAGGGGAATTTGAGCCAATTTCTCCGGTTCTTAAACCGATATACCGATATATGATAATATGGTAGACGTTTGGATAGAGAGATTAGAGCGATAAGTGTCCACTTCAGTCCGTAAATTGATGTGCAGTAATCAGAAGCCACGTTAAAACGTTAATGAAATAAATCAACAAACGCGAATGGTTATGGACTGGATATGCAGATGGATGTTCAGAGATATGGGTCAGTGAGAATTCCACCCAAGGTGTTAATTAATGTTAATGAGAAAGATGAGAATGAATAATTCGACGATGTTCGGTTGCCCCCCCCCCCCCCCCCCCCCCCCCCCCCNACAGGAGTCGTTAGATTTTTTTGCCGCTTTTTACGCGGGAGATTGCCGAGTCAGATGGACCAGTTTGTGATCAATTGGACGATTCGTTTGACGCTGTATATCCGCTGTATGAATGTGGTCGAAAATCTCGAAGAGGAAAGGATCGCTGTGTTACATGAGGCCAATGACCGGTGTCGTTCCAGATTCGGTAGGAGCGCTCTTCGTAGCCTAAATTCTAACCGGACTTCTTTCAACTATACTTGCCCTCGGGTTGTTAAGGATCGGGTTATGGGGGCGGGAGGCGGTTCGTTTGCAGTCTAGCGNATTTGTTGGCAATTGTTTCGGCAATTGAACGATTATTTTTGGTGTCATGAATGTTTGTCAATTATTTTCTGTTTTCATGTAAAATTTCTGTGGATTTTTAATGATAAATTAGGAATTAAGTACGGTGTTGTAAGGAACACACCATGAAAAGTGGAAATATTTCCGTTGAATAAAGGATATTAGGCATATTTTTTTGTGATGATGGAACAATCGTTTTATTAAAAAGAGTGAATAATTCATCATCAAAATTTCTGTGCAGTCTAGCCATTTTAATTATTTTCTTTCGGTTTATTTTTAGAGGATAGGCTCAAGAGATGCGGACGATTGATATCGCTGAATTTGGGACTTCGTTCCGCGAATTTGTGAATTAGAAATTTCAATCAATTGCGTGTGGGGAGAGAACTTAGTATTTGTTGGCAATTTTTTCGGCAATTGAACGATTATTTTTGGTGTCATGAATGTTTGTCAATTATTTTCTGTTTTCATGTAAAATTTCTGTGGATTTTTAATGATAAATTAGGAATTAAGTACGGTGTTGTAAGGAACACACCATGAAAAGTGGAAATATTTCCGTTGAATAAAGGATATTAGGCATATTTTTTTGTGATGATGGAACAATCGTTTTATTAAAAAGAGTGAATAATTCATCATCAAAATTTCTGTGCAGTCTAGCCATTTTAATTATTTTCTTTCGGTTTATTTTTAGAGGATAGGCTCAAGAGATGCGGACGATTGATATCGCTGAATTTGGGACTTCGTTCCGCGAATTTGTGAATTAGAAATTTCAATCAATTGCGTGTGGGGAGAGAACTTAGTATTTGTTGGCAATTGTTTCGGCAATTGAACGATTATTTTTGGTGTCATGAATGTTTGTCAATTATTTTCTGTTTTCATGTAAAATTTCTGTGGATTTTTAATGATAAATTAGGAATTAAGTACGGTGTTGTAAGGAACACACCATGAAAAGTGGAAATATTTCCGTTGAATAAAGGATATTAGGCATATTTTTTTGTGATGATGGAACAATCGTTTTATTAAAAAGAGTGAATAATTCATCATCAAAATTTCTGTGCAGTCTAGCCATTTTAATTATTTTCTTTCGGTTTATTTTTAGAGGATAGGCTCAAGAGATGCGGACGATTGATATCGCTGAATTTGGGACTTCGTTCCGCGAATTTGTGAATTAGAAATTTCAATCAATTGCGTGTGGGGAGAGAACTTAGTATTTGTTGGCAATTGTTTCGGCAATTGAACGATTATTTTTGGTGTCATGAATGTTTGTCAATTATTTTCTGTTTTCATGTAAAATTTCTGTGGATTTTTAATGATAAATTAGGAATTAAGTACGGTGTTGTAAGGAACACACCATGAAAAGTGGAAATATTTCCGTTGAATAAAGGATATTAGGCATATTTTTTTGTGATGATGGAACAATCGTTTTATTAAAAAGAGTGAATAATTCATCATCAAAATTTCTGTGCAGTCTAGCCATTTTAATTATTTTCTTTCGGTTTATTTTTAGAGGATAGGCTCAAGAGATGCGGACGATTGATATCGCTGAATTTGGGACTTCGTTCCGCGAATTTGTGAATTAGAAATTTCAATCAATTGCGTGTGGGGAGAGAACTTAGTATTTGTTGGCAATTTTTTCGGCAATTGAACGATTATTTTTGGTGTCATGAATGTTTGTCAATTATTTTCTGTTTTCATGTAAAATTTCTGTGGATTTTTAATGATAAATTAGGAATTAAGTACGGTGTTGTAAGGAACACACCATGAAAAGTGGAAATATTTCCGTTGAATAAAGGATATTAGGCATATTTTTTTGTGATGATGGAACAATCGTTTTATTAAAAAGAGTGAATAATTCATCATCAAAATTTCTGTGCAGTCTAGCCATTTTAATTATTTTCTTTCGGTTTATTTTTAGAGGATA